TGGAGTTCCCGATGTACATCTGTTTCACAGATGGCAATTTCGGATAACTCCGATGTATCCGCTGAACTTGTCGAACCCGCATTATCCACATTAGCTGGGGTCCTATGCACGCTTTTAAAGATCATCAGTAGGGTTTCCGCTTTATCGCGGTTACACGTAGCTATGTCTCCATTGGGCAACGCTGGTGCTCCTACACACTCCCGTGTGCGTGAGTTGGCTTCCACGTACGCATAAAAGCTTTTGGGTTTCTTTTTCATACCTCGGGCTAAGTTAAACTCGAATTCATATTTGGCACATCTTTGGAGGTCTTGACATCTGTTGTGCGCCCGCTTGTAGTCACTCCAGGCTTGTTGAGTGCTATGAAGCTTAAAGCGATCCCAGTATCTTCGGCAAATTTTGAGCGCCTTCTCTATCCCGGGTATCCACCATATTGGTCTATGACGAATTTGGCCTTCCCTCAGTGATGCGAACCTTTCTGTGAGGCTAGTTAACCCTCTTTTAACTACTTCCGATCTATCCTGCACAGTGCACTCCGGGGACGTCGGGTACCAGCTGATGGTATTTGCAGTTTGCGACAGTTCAATGTCGTTTACGCGACTATAGAGACGCATAAGAGTAGGTCCGTGCCTACGATGGTTAACCAATAGTAAAAAGCGAATAACTTCGTGGTCACTTTTGCCCAGTGGTTCTTCCATGTTTAAACTAGTTATGTCCGAGAAATACCTTGTGATAACTAGGTCTAGCAACGAGGGTCTCTGTTTTCCTCGGTATCTGGTTGCTCTTGTAACATGCTGTGTCAGAGATCTTTCTTGTAGAAACAGCAAGAATGCAGCCCCTGGGGATCCCGTAGGTGCATACCCCCTTGACCATAGTACCTCCGGAAAATTGAAGTCGCCAGTGATGATAAAACGCTGGTATTTCGCCAGTGTTTGTTGTAGGATCATAAGCCACTCCGTATCTTCCTCTGCCATCGTATTCGGGGCTCTATATATAATAAATATAATAAATATACATACTACACCCACTTGCTTCCGCCCCATTTGAATGCAGCATCCTGTGGCTTTGATATTCAGAGTAGCTAACTCCAGCTGCATTCTTTTTGGTTAAGGTCAGCCTTGATGAGTAGCAGTACTCCATCCCCCTGTCTGCTGTCAGTTCTTTTTGCCTATAGCTTGTATACCCGCTTAAATGAGCAAAGAGTTGATCCTGTTACAGCCATGATTGAGTAATACTGACTATGTCTGATCCCCTGATGCGTGCTCCTAATTCTCCACACTTTCCACTAATACTACAATCATGCCTGCCACAAAACGATTAAACATCTGTTCTTCCAAGCGATCGCCGTAGTTGCAGCGTGATGCCTGTCCGTTTAGCTGCAGGATGAAATCACGGCAAGACATGTGGTCAGCACCGATTGTGGAATTGAATTTAGCACGTTTATGGGCTTGGAATTCAGTAGGCAGCAGGTGGTTGTGCAGGAGCGACTTCACGGACTCGTACGGAAGTTTAGCGGGAACCTCGGGAAATGCCAGGGTTTGTAGCAGCAAAAATAAATCACGGCCGCCAGCAGTGAGAAATAGAGCCGATTGTTTTCGCATACCACCTTTTCGAATACTACACCACAGCTCGAATCGCTCTACCTATTCCTCGATCTCGAATGGACTGGCTTGCAGGTTCAATTGTTCAATACTTGGAAGCTCCATTGCGCGACGCCAATTTGTGGTGATCGTAAAATTAGTAGTAGTAAAATTACGCACAGAATTCAGGACACGAACTACGCAATGCGAATCACGGAACACGAATTAGAAATCCGGTGGCACTAGATCGCAATGGCTCGAACTCGCAATAACCCGCAGGATCGAGACGCGAGGATAAAGGCCACAAGACGGGCGAATCAGAAAGTCATTTATTGAAGGAAATTAAAGTGAATATATATGTGCACAAAAGAAGATCATTGGTTACCTTAGTTTCCACCGATCACATTGCATCATACCTTGCGTCATACTGCTCTTCTCCACATTGTATCTGATTGGCTAAAACGGTTCACCAATGACGTGTATCCGGAAGCTGTGCACGTGATACTGGCGTCAGCGCTCAAGGTCGATTGACTACCAATGTCCGGAAACTGTACCGCGCTGCTGTAGGGCAGGCGTAACCTCATAGATGCGAATCACCACAGGAGTTCTNACTTTCCCCTCTACCTTAATCTGGAAGCTCCGACCCTTTAGACAACTACATATTCAACGTTCCACATTGGGAGTCAGCCCAAAGCGCCGAAGCTTCATCATCATCAACCTGTGGTTGACCGAGTCAGAGGCCTTTTGAGAGTCTAGAAAGCAGACTTCCACCCTGTCACCCCGGTCAATCCTATGCGTTACCTTGTCAAGGAAACACAGCAGGTTGGTGAGACACCATCTTCTCCTCATGAGGCCATGCTGATGTGCGGTGTACATCTTGGTTGCTTCCAAGTGTGTGACTATTTTATCCCGGATGATATGCTCCATGGATTTTTATACCACAGAAGTCAAGTTGACAGGTCGGTAATTTGCGCAGTTCTCTCTAGTTCCCCCTTTTTAGAGTGGATTGACAGTTGAAACCAACCAGTCACTAGAGCGTCGTCCTTCCTCCAATGATGCATTGAACAGTCGTGCAAGCGGTTCCAAAAGCACGCTCGCCAGAGGTTTTGACACCGCTGGATGCAGCTGGTCTGGNNNGTCTGGACCCGGTTTATTTCATGCTGAAGTTTTGAAAATCCTTCCGAACCCATAATAATTTATGGTGAAAAAACTTTATCTGTGTGTTGCTCCTATATTGACATTTCTCGATCAAAAACACCATGCATCATTATTTACCTGTTAATTCGATACCCGGCACATTTGAATTTTGGGTGGTTTGAGAACGTGAGCAACTGTTTGCCTCTCTCTGGACATCTAATTTGGCTCGATTGCTTGATTGCTCTCGGCCGCATATTTGAGTTTTGCTTTATTGTTCATTTGTAATGATTTCGTTAATTCAGTACCGTAGAACATTGCGAATCAATTGTGTATTGACTTCGATGGAGAAACGATTCGGATGCCTGATGACCTGCCTGCGGTCACGAGATTTGCATATAGAGACCGTGCGCAGCATGTCGACCGACTCCTTTCTTATGGCCTGGCAGAGATTCGTTGGTAGACGAGGTAATCCATCGAATGTGTTCTCCGACAGCGGGTCCAATTTCGTCGGTGCACAAAAAGAGTTGAGCGACTGGTTGATGCGGTTAGACAAACGCGCCCTGCAAGACCGACTGCCGCCATCTGGATACCAATGGCACTTAAACCCACCTTACAGCAGTCACCGCGGAGGAGTTTGGGAACGGCTTATACGGTCGGTGCGAAAACGATTGACGGCGTCATGTGAACAACAGGCGCCGGATGGTGAAACTTTGAACACATTTCCGGTAGAGGCGGAAAGGATACTCAACAACCGACCGCTTGTACCCGTCACCAGCGATGACTTGCATGGGCGGGCACTAACTCCGAGTGATCTTCTGCTATTGAGGTCCAATGATGGTCTAGATATGCCAAAAACTATTAGTGGTTGCTATACCTCGGGTTGGAAGCATGCGAACTAACTGGCACGGGTGTTTTGGAAGCGTTGGACAAGAGAGTAGCGCCAACCCTTCAAGCTCGACAGAAGTGGTTGCATAGAGGACGGTTACTGAAGGTTGGGGACTGTGTTGTAATATTGTTTGAATTGATCGTTTTGTTTTACTGCATCAGTTGCATTTTTATGATTGGTCCCTACAAGACTTTAATTATGCCGACCTGAACAATCTGATTGGTTCAGGTTTATATATAAACGCCAATGATTCCCTTCCCAAATGTGATTTGTGTCCAGTGGACTAGAGGAAGTATATTGAGAACATATTCTGAAGAACCGAATTTTCACATGGTGGCAGCGGTGGGATGATGCGAAATTCCCAATGTCGGAGAGAATGAATAGTCTACTGCAAGTCGAACCTCCAGCGTACCTGAATATGGAGGAGACAGGGCGATTGGCTGATAACTGGGATCTATGGCGAACGCAGTATGGAGACTTTCGTACACTGACAGAGATGGACCGCGAATCCAGCCTGGTGCAATTGGCTTCGTTCCGTCACACCAATGGTCCGAATGCTCTGCGTGTCATAAATGGATTCACGTATAGTCCGGATGAGGACCGTGTAGTTTGGCAGGTGGTGATGGCGAAGATGGAGCGCTACTGTCTTGGCGAATCTAACGAGACTTATGAACGATACATTTTCAATCAGAGAAAGCAGCAACATGGTGAGTCCCTCAACACATTCGTCCTAGCGCTAAAATCCCTGGTTCGTTCGTGCAATTTCTGCGCATGTCTGGAAGATAGTCTAATAAGGGACCGAATTGTCGTTGGCCTACGGAATTCTACTGTGGTGAAGCGTCTCCTGAAAATTCCAAAGCTGACTTTGAAACAATGCATCGATATATGTCGGAGTGAAGAA